GTGCGAAGGCGACCGCAAACTGACGCTCTGCGGCACTCCTAACTATATCGCGCCCGAAGTGCTCTTCAAAAAGGGCCACAGCTATGAAGTGGACGTCTGGTCGTTGGGCTGTATTGTATACACACTGGTTGTCGGCAAACCTCCCTTCGAGACCAATGACTTGAAGGACACTTATAAGCGGATTAAGTCCAATGAGTATAAGATCCCGGCGTATGTCGGGTCAGATGTGTCCGCTTTCATCACAAAACTGCTTCAGTCGGACCCCAAAAGGCGGCCCTCAATGCGTGAGGTGTTGGACGACCCGTATATGAATCGCAATTACATTCCGTCCCGACTTCCGGTGTCGTGTCTCACAGTTCCGCCTCGTTTTGATGGACGCCTTTCCATACTTCCGGACTCTTTGGCCAAATTCTCGCCCCGAAAACCGTTGGGAGAAATGGCTAACAATGGACTGAAATCACCGGAAAAGGCTATCGCTGTGAAGGATGAGCCCAAAGCGCCCACCAATCGGGGCCCCAGTAATCCCAAAGACTATTATCTGCGGGATTTGAGTAACCAATTGCATCATCTGATTAATCAAAAGCCCACTGAATTGCCGCAAGTGATGGAAGACGATGCCGAAGATCCCGCGTCTTCGCCCATCTTCTGGATCTCCAAATGGGTTGACTATACAGACAAATATGGTATCGGATATCAATTGTGCGACAATAGTGTCGGCGTTTTGTTCAATGATATCACGAAAATAATGCTAATGTCTGACGAGTCAAACATGCATTACATCGAAAAGGACGGCTCCGAACGTTATCTTAATTTCAACGCCTGTCCGCAAGAGCTCTACAAGAAGTTAACGCTTTTGAAATACTTCCGAAACTATATGAGCGAACATTTGCTTAAAACTGGCGAAAAGCCTGAGCCTCGAGACGGCGACGATTTGGTACGACTTCCGTATCTAAACAATTGGTTCCGAACCAAAAATGCAATCGTTTTCCAGTTAACTAATGGAACCGTTCAGGTATTCAATTATCATTACTATTAGAGCTATTGGTGACGTGTGTCTAACCTATTGTCTATATTTCAGATCAACTTCTTTCAAGATCACACTAAACTGATTCTGTGTCCACTCATGGGTGCCGTCACTTATGTCAACGACAAGCGAGACTTCAAGACATATAAGTTGAGTCTCATCGAGAAGTACGGCTGCAGTAAAGAAGTGTTCACAAGACTGCGATACGCGACTGAGATTGTGGACCGACTAATGCATCACAAACTCAGCTCTAATACCAGAAGCGGCGGTTCAAAGCGTTGAATCGCATTCTTAATGTTCATTATTTTGATAATCACTTTTGTTTTATATAAATCATTATTTTAGTCAATTATCTTCACTATCTATGTGTCAAATGGTGTCGTAATATTATTTTTGCACTTATTTTTACCCAATTTTTATATTTCTTTAAAAGAAACATTTCTTTCAATAAATTTTTACATGTTTTAAACTTCTTTTATATAAATAATCGAAATTTTAAAGTTATCAAAATGTACTATAATTTAGTATTATTTTTCTTTGAATAAAACCTGAGTTAACAAAAAACATGCAAATGTTTTGTTATTTCAAATGATATTCAAGAAACTAAAGCTTTGGTTAATAATGAGAGGAATAAAAACTAAACTTTGATTTTTTTTATAATTTAAATGTAATTTTTATATACAAAAAATAGTAGCAAACAATTAGTGGTGTATTTTGTGTGAATCCATAACTTGACATACAATTGATTTTTAGTTTAAAATCGAAATAAATATAGAAATTTATTAATAATGAGCTAAAAGTCGTAAAATGCCAATCATTTTGAGGCACTTTTTGAACAGTTAATTGTTTTTTGTTTGTCATAACAATCGATAGATATTTTAGAAATTAAAGTGCGATTTTTAAGTTATGGTCTTTCGGTATATGTATTGCTGTAGCGCTTTGTGTTTGCCATTCAAACGCATCTATACTTATGCCGGTAGTCTCAGAGCGCGGCCCCGAATGACTGTCAGCGGCAATACGTGGAGAGAAACAATGGTATCATTTCATATGTTTGTGTCTAATGTCTGGTAAATGCAAACCTCGTGTGACGTAGAGGTAGAAGAAGTCACAGTAGAGGACCGTTTGGACAATTCCGGCCACAATAGCGATCAGGTCGTAGAAGCCCTCGAAATAGTAGCGCCAAATCCAGTTCATCAGATACAGCGCCCGATAAGAGCCTAAAGCCATCAGATAATGAGATGTTATGGTCTCGGCTTCGCCCGTCTTCGACACTAAGAAGAGTTGCGGCAAAATCGCAACCGATTCCAGATATATGGAGAACGTCCACAACACCTGACATCACAATCAGACCATCACATCATTGAGTGAATCAAGCGTTTGTGGCGGCAATGGCTTACCTCGAGTGGTGTGAACTCGTGATTGACTAAAAGACCTAAAAGGGTGACCGGAATCAGGAGGAACTCAATTCTGAAAGTGTCGTGATTTCGATCGTAAGTGGCTTTGAATTTCATGTACATTAGGTATAGTGTGGCCACAGAAGCGCCGATGAATACTATCTGTTGTGACAAATATATGCAACAAATGTGAGATCAAATGCATTCTTGAGATCAATCTTGTGATCAATACCTTCATAAACGAGTTGTAAAGAGAGATGTAATTTGTAAATAAGTCTAAATATCTAGAGATGTAAACCAATGCAAACAATATCTGACTTTTTCCGGATATGCCTTAAATGGGAAATGAATGCAAACGACGGGTCATTAGATTTAATGGCAATCAATATGTATGAGAGGGTGAGTGAGAGAGTGGGAGAGAGTGGGAGGGGATGTCATACCAGCGCACGAACGGGTTTTCCAGATCTTCAGCAAAAGCACAATAATCGCCAACAGATGAGACAAATCACCCGTCAGTCGGAAAATATTCATCGCTAACCACTGATTGTCTTCGTTTTGGACACAAAAACACTCACTCTATGGACACAGCCTTCCGGACGACAACTCGACACAAATGTGTTGTGAAAGCGTGTGTTTCGCCAGTATTTGGGAACCGATCGCAGGAGTGAAGGAGTGAGTGGTGACGACGTGGCCGACGATCAACACATTCAACACATCAGTGTTTCAATGCTTTCATAACACAACTCACTGTCACTGCAATCAGTGAGAGTGAGTGCCACTCACTCCTCCCCACACTCTCTCCCACACACCGAGACATACACTCCCCAAACACTCCCCGAAACACACGCTCAACACTGCAACAGCTTATAGACCAGACTGTGTGCCGGCATTGCACACACATATCACGTGATGCACAGCCGCTCCCCAACTCTCATAACATTATGTAACGCAATGTCATGTCTCCCACTATAAGCCAAACCCTTCCCCCTCTCATTCGTTACGTTGTTTGTGAATATTTGAAAATTACAGTCCAGTGTCGGCCTCTATGGGGCGTAAAAGTGGTTAACTATTGAAAGCCAATCATTGCGTGTAATAAAAAAAAGTTTGCCATTCATTGCAATCAATACTAAAATATCGACAAAATTTTTAATTAAATTTGATTTTATAATTAAAAATAAACTTTTTTTCTACACTTTTATTTGCAAAACGAAAGATACGCCAAAATATAGCGAAAAAACTTTTGATTGAGTCTCCAATGGGTTTGAATGACACAAACAAGAGATGGCATTCAAAGTGCAGACAATTGCATGAATTAAAGGGTATTTTTTTGTAAACATTGTATTGAATATTGTTTTGAGAGTTTAGTCACAGAAATATTGATTACATTTTGCGATATGAATGACACGAAGAGATAGTCAACAGGTTTTTTGAGGCCATGAAATGAGCGAAGAAGTGATTATTTGTTGACAGCGACGACACGAATAGGTGTGAGAAATGAGTGAATCGGTGGCCACTCTGGAGGCGGAGGAATGGTTTCCGGGGGAACTGAAGCCAAACCCCGTGCCCTATATATCGCTGGTCGGTCTGAGCGCCCAAAACAATGCCATTCACGCCGTTATCTGGAACTCATTCACTGTTAGCCGCGGATCAGATCGACCGCCGCTTTACTTCAAGCTCTTGCCGGAAAACTACTCGTTCACGGCATCCAAACCTAAGGTAAATCCTTCGCCGATTGTCTCATCCATTGATTGAATTGATTGATTGGTCTCTCCAACAGAAATCTTCATACGAATGGCATATTCCCAAAGGTATACTCAAGAGCTCATGGCTTCGAAGGCATATGTTTGAGATGCCGTCGGTGTGTGTGCTCTTCGTTGACCTGAATTGGGACGACTTGTATTGGAATCAAAAGCGGACCGAATGTGTGGCCAAAGTTGAACACTTGCGCCGATTACTGGGCACTAGGAATACGAGAATTACTTTGGTTTTGATCCAATCGTCCACATCTTTACCATCTGGTGAGCCATCCGTCTCCTCCTTCTCTTCATCTCTCACTCATTCACTAATTGTTAAAACAGATGACTCTTTGGTGACGGAGAGGGCGGCCCTTCTCTGCAGTTCCTGTGATTTGAACGCAAAATCGCTGTTTGTTTTGCCCGTCAGTGATGTCTCGCAACTCATGGGATATATATTGAGGTAACGATTGATTTGATTTATAAATTTAAATGAGTTTTGTATTTAATAAATGATTGATAGAATGGAAACGGCTTTATATGAGTTGTCGAAAGCCTATTATCAACACGAATGCAAACTAATCAAAGGACATAGGGATCAGCTCAACCACACCACTCATCAGCTCCTATATGTCAGACATCAGTTCAAAATAGGATTTTTTAGTGAACTAAAACAGGACCCAAACACTGCCCTCAAGTCAGTCAATCATACAATTGTCTCATCACTTGATATATTTTGTTTTTAACATTTTGCTTGTCTTTACAGACACTACAAGAACTCGTACACGAATCTAATGGAAGTTCGCGTGACGTTAATCAACTTATATGAGATCAAAACGATCGGCGCTTTTATTAATTACAAGATTTGCAAATTGTGTTTCCAATTGAACACACCGTTGGACGCCATCTCTCAGTTCCGTAAACACATTGACATTTTTAAAGGCAAATGTGAGCCCAAAGAGATCGAGTTCGAGCACTCGGCCTGGCTTTCCAAACAGTACGCGCTGTTCGCCGGCCTGTTTGACGCGGCCATCACTGCCGGTCTCATACCATCGCAAATGCAGAATCCGGGCTATTATTACTTAGAGGCCGCCCTTCAAGCCATGCAACGCCGCAAACTCTGTCTCTCTGTTTNGCGCTGTTCGCCGGCCTGTTTGACGCGGCCATCACTGCCGGTCTCATACCATCGCAAATGCAGAATCCGGGCTATTATTACTTAGAGGCCGCCCTTCAAGCCATGCAACGCCGCAAACTCTGTCTCTCTGTTTGCACTCAAACGCAGTTTAATGAATTGAATCCTCAAAATCTGGAACTGTTTAACAATATATTGCAATCCACGCAACAAATGGAGTTCTTTGGACAGAGACCGTGGAGACCCGGCTGTCAAAGTTAGCACTCATTTGTCATTCATNGCACTCAAACGCAGTTTAATGAATTGAATCCTCAAAATCTGGAACTGTTTAACAATATATTGCAATCCACGCAACAAATGGAGTTCTTTGGACAGAGACCGTGGAGACCCGGCTGTCAAAGTTAGCACTCATTTGTCATTCATTTGTCAGTACTTTTTACTTAAATAAATTTTCTGTTTTTCAAAGCACTCGAACCATTGGACGCCGAGAAAGAGAGAATCGGATTAAAAGTGTTGCAATACAAAGAACTAACGACTGTTAATCATTCTGTTAGTGATGAAAATACATTTAATTAATTGATTATATAATAATTGATTTGTATATTTTAGTCACTTATCATAACATCATTGAGTAATGCCATCAATCAATTCAAGAAATACAAGTGCCCGCGAATGAAGAGATATCTCATGGTATTAGTGGCTGAGGAGTACTTCTACAGCAAAGACTACGCCAACGCTCTGACATTCCTCGACAATGTGTTGCCTCAATACCGAGAAGAGGGTTGGCTTCCGTTAGTACAGAATATTCTCAATACTGCACTACAAGCGGCCTATCTATCGGCCGATGCCATCAATTTTGTGAAGTTAGGCCTCGAATACATTTCAGTGACAAATAGCTCTAAATTTGAGGACAAGATCGCTATTCAAGAAAGCATTGAAAATATAATGCGAAAACAGTTACCACTTGTGTTGCCATTTGTCGACAAAACGGACGCCGAGAATGCGTTGAAATTGTGGTCCAATGTGTTAAGTGTTAACTCAGATCCCATTAGTTTTACTATGAAAATGGATTCGTTAATGAAATTCGTTGAATGTAAGCCTCAATTCACATCCAAAACATTTGAATGCAATCACGCTATGAAAGTGGACCTCTATTTGCAGTCTTCGGCTCCCAAACCGATCCAATTGACGAAATTAAACATTTTATTTTCGGACCAATACTATAACCAATTCTGTGAATATATTGATACAACTGATAACGAGTCTGAAAATAGTTTATTACTGAAACCTTTGATATTACAAAAATTTTCGTTTAGTATAAATCCATTATTTAAAGACATTGAACAACGAGTGACAATAGTCGGCGTTAATGTCACACTTGGAAGCGATTCCATGTCTGCGGTAATGCAGTGGTCTTTCACCGATAAAATCAATGATTTCGTGCCCTCAGTCTATAAGCGCCCGACCAGTGATATAACAGACATCAAACATATAAACACTTTATTGTCGACAAATATAATCAAATATAACCCAAATTTAGAGTTAACTATAAAACACAATCCGCCGGCGCTTTTGAATGAATTTTATTTGTTAAAACTGTGGCTCAAGAATAGGGAACAGTTCGTCGCCTCTAACTTGAAGCTCACCGTCAAAGTGATGGACACTAACAATGACGACACTGACGTCGCTTTCAAAAGTCTTATTTACAGCGGAAATGAGTTCAAAGAATTGACGGAAAACTTTCCACTCAATGATATTAAAGTTAACGACGAGTTAAACGAAGAAATTGTTGTTAAATTTGAAATTACGGGAAATCATTGCATTGTATTCACTGTTGTGTACGACTCGATGTATGAAATGCAAAATGAATGCAAAACTATATCCCTTTCGATCACTCAAAAAGAAATGTCAGACGTATTGATACCATTCATCACTTCATGCGAGTTAACAAACCTGTCGGCCACTAAAGTAGCGCAGATTCGCCGAAACGAACCCTTCTTTGTCAATGTGTTGACCAAAGAAAACGCCGACATTTCGGTCGAGATTATTGAATCGATGCCTCAATTTGACGAATCCATTGAGTGTTTGCAGCAAACGAATAGACCGTTCAAAGGGAATGTCTTCGTAGACCAAACGTTTAAAACTGTTGCTTCCATTGAATACACGACTCCCGTCTCAATGGGAATGTATTTAATAAAGTGGAAACGAAAATGTGAGAGTGATTCTCATTTACGCGCGCCATTGCTGTCTGAAACGTTGGTTCCGTTGCCGATGATAACAGTCGTCAGTTCTCCCGTTTTTGTTGACTTGAAATATCCGGACGTTTGTGTCGCTAGAAATCCGATGATATTATGCTATCATATATACAATCGGACGGATAGTAACCTGTCATTAGAGCTTTCAATGGGCACTTCCGATAGCTTTATGTATTCCGGAAATAAATTAGTGAGTATTTCAGCGCATAATTTCTATTCATACCATATTTTATTGTGATATTAATTTAATAAACAATTGTCAAACTCTTTTGAATAAAAATATTGATTTTTGTGTTAACAATAGGCTAATAGTTGTGCCTTTTGTGCAAAAATTAATATAAATATATTAGTAATTTTTTGACATGAAATTTATCAAAAATTGATATAAATTAACAAATAAATTGAATTTGATTTTTAGATCCAAATTATTTTGGAAGCGAATCAAAGCGCAGAACAGCATTACATACTCTACCCATTGGTGTGCGGATCGATAGTATTGCCTAAGTTTCGCATTGTGTTAAACCCGGAGACTCCCGGCGCGGCGCCAATTGATTATATCGACCAAATACTGCCCAACGATCTACTCGTTATTTACTCTACCCATTGGTGTGCGGATCGATAGTATTGCCTAAGTTTCGCATTGTGTTAAACCCGGAGACTCCCGGCGCGGCGCCAATTGATTATATCGACCAAATACTGCCCAACGATCTACTCGTTATTGTAAGTGTTCCTAATTTGCACATATAATTGATTATATAATTCTATTTATTTCTAATTCATTATCAAAAGCCTCAAAACAAGACTACATGTGATGTCTCGCAAACCGTGGGTTAACATAAAAGTGTCGTTTCATAGGATTCCAGAAATTTGTTAAACATATCAATCGCTAGATGTGTTAATCTGTTTCAAAAATAGTTTTCATTAAATTTTTTATTATATTGGGTATGAGTTTATGTAATGCGAAAATCTCAGAGTAAAATGAAAATTATTTTCTATTAATAACTAAAATAGTAATTCAGATTTTATATCGGCCATCATTTTTGTCAACTATTGACCTTCATTTGAGGAGAGATTCAATATCTTCCAAATAAAAATGGCTGCCCTGAGAGTCAAAGAAGTAAGTGAGGTATATTTTGACTCGTTCTCCATATATCTGGAATCGGTTGCGATTTTGCCGCAACTCTTCTTAGTGTCGAAGACGGGCGAAGCCGAGACCATAACATCTCATTATCTGATGGCTTTAGGCTCTTATCGGGCGCTGTATCTCATGAACTGGATTTGGCGCTACTATTTCGAGGGCTTCTACGACCTGATCGCTATTGTGGCCGGAATTGTCCAAACGGTCCTCTACTGTGACTTCTTCTACCTTTACGTCACACGAGGTTTGCATTTGCCATACATTAGACACAAACATATGAAATGATACCATTGTTTCTCTCCACGTATTGCCGCTGTCAGTCATTCGGGGCCGCGCTCTGAGACTACCGGCATAAGTATAGATGCGTTTGAATGGCAAACACAAAGCGCTACAGCAATACATATACCGAAAGACCATAACTTATAAAATCGCACTTTAATTTCTAAAATATCTATCGATTGTTATGACAAACAAAAAACAATTAACTGTTCAAAAAGTGCCTCAAAATGATTGGCATTTTACGACTTTTAGCTCATTATTAATAAATTTCT